CAAACCACTGTCCCTCCTCTGGACATGTTCAAACCACCGTCCCTCCTCTGGACATGTCCAAACCACTGTCTCTCCTCTGGACATGTCCCAACCATCTCAGTGTGTCCTCTCTAACTTTACCTCGCAGGTGTTCAACCTGTGCTGTACCTCTGATCATCTCATTCCTGATCTTCTCCATCCTTGTCTCTCCTCAGGAGAACCTCAACATCTTCAGCTCAGTCACTTCCAAATCTGTCTCCTGTCTTTTTGTCCATGTCTCTGTCTCCAGACCGTGCATACCTGCACCTCTCCACAGTCTCTTCCACCTGTTCTCTGTTCTCACTACAGATCAGTGTCATCCATCTTTTTGCTTGTCGTACTGGTAAAAAAATAAATAAATAAGAAGAACTTTTCCACTTCAGTTCATGAAATTGTTGCAGAGCGACGTGGCTTCATGTTTAACGTGCACATGATGAAATTTGACTGCGATACCTTGCCTTATATTTGTCACAATCCACTCCAGCCTGCCTGCACGGTTGTTACTAATTAAACACGGCTCAATAAAACAGATGGTTGGAGGTTAGTGTATTTAATTACAAGGTTCAGGCTAAGAAAACAAGATTAAAGTACATTCCAGAGAAAAACAGAAGCAAACTGTGATTTCATGCCTGCTGACTCGCTGCTGCCAGTTGAACACAGAGGAAACCTGCTGGGAACTCAAACTACGTGTTATTTACAGCATTCTGAAAGTTGTTTGATCGGCACAAAGAAAAATAGATTTAGTGTTTATCTTCTCAAATAACGTTTTCTTCTGTGGGTTTTGATCAATATTAGTGTTCATCAGATGTTTGAGAACTCAGCAGGTTATAACAGAAACAGGTGAGTCATACGCTGCTGGTGTTGTCTCATTACTGGGAGCTCAGAGTCTGAGGTATCTTTGTGAGTAAATGTTTGTATTGTTGTTTATTTTGTTGTTTATTTTGCTTGAAGGTCCTGTTTGGAGAAAAGTTGATGTTCTGCTACAAAATGATATAGTCAGTCATGTTTGTCTGGATGAACCAAACCGAGCCAGAAAGATTGTCCTGTTTCAGTACATCCTCATGGGTATTGGATTGTTTTTACTCGTGGCAACATGTTTGTTTATCTGCCTGTTAGCAAAATATCTCATCACCAACTGGACAGATTTTTATAACGCGTTTATGAAATAACCATTAAACATCTCGCCTGCTGAAGCTTGCAACTGCTTCAGAGTAGTCCCAGCTGGTGTGGTGGTCTCTCTCACTGACCTGCTTCATGGTCTCACAGTTTGTGATGAGCTGCTCTTGGTAGATTTACACACGTTCCCATATTACTTACATTATTAAGTAAGGATTATTGAGCATGCATCAGGACATATTACTTACAGGTCTTGATGCTGGATTTAACAGAACTTTGACTTCCTTTGAATCCATCCTCTGGCGTGTACTTTTATTAATATTATCTCTGCGTTGAATCAGGACAGTCATTTTGTGTGTGTGTGTGTGTGTGTGTGTGTGTGTGTGGGGGGGGGTTCGTTATGCATTCTCTTATTTTACATATGTTTGCTTGATAGTATTAAATAGAGCCTGGACAATATATCGGTAGGACCAATATTTTTAGGGATGCACAATATTGGATTTTTGACCGATATTCGATATGCCAATATGTTAAAACTTATTTGGCCGATACCGATATTTTATATACGTTCCTTTGTCAGAACATAGCATCTTATTTAGGCTTATTTGCTACAAAAATTGTGCAACAGCTGTAAGAGCTGGTGACATATATTCAGTAACAGCCATATGATATGCACAGCACTTTTTATATTAAATGAAAAGTGTTAAATATTATTTATTAGCATTAGTCACCTGCGATGCTGTCTCACTTGTGGAGGCTTGTTCCAGGTTCCTATAGCTGCAGTGTGGGATCCTGTGCACTCCTGTGCATGAAGGACAGACTTTTTTAAGTTCAAAGATTTGTCTATCCATTGAGCTGTAGGACTAATCATGCTAACGGGGCTAACACGACGTCCAAATGTCTGTGGTAAAACTCACCCAACAAGTCGTGCTATCAGCTGTTAGCTTCTCAATGACGTCGGAAATGACGGCTTGTAACTCGGGCAACATTACATTGGAAAAATATCTCCGACTGCGGA